TACTACAATATAGTTTCTGTCAGCAGGTCATCACCACCTTTCAATAGATTTCGCAACTTTTGATTGGAGGTCGGATGCATGGCCTCAACTGAGATCGAGACGAGATCTTGCGATGACGACCGTTCTCCTTGCCGCTTACGTTGGGAGAAATTATTCTAGACACATTTCGAGCGTTGCCAACGAATTACACTTGCAATGGTGAAGAAGGGAGCGGCTTTTTGAGCGGCCGAGAATCATCCTCGATAGATCCTCGACGCAAATATCTCCTCAACTAGAAATGTAGAAGGAAGCTAAACATACTGTTAGAAAGCGCAAACCTTCCAAAACTGTCTTCGTCTTTTTCAAGATCTTGCGAAATTAGAGAGATATTGTCTTTTGAGTTGGCGAAAAACCCGCACTAAAATTTCAGCATTCTCGACGCTGCCTCGACGGATTTTGAGAGACGCTATCTCTTCGAGTTTTTAGCTTTCAGATCAACTCCAGTATTGCCTGGTAGTATCAAATCCAACTCTATCTAAACCTGCTCCAAACTTATGAAATGGTGAAATGGAACCTTTTCATCGAGAGTGTAGATTTCGACGGTTTCGAGCGGGGTTTCGGCAAATCTGACCCACGGATAAACCGCGCTGCAACTGAATGCTTTGCTGTACATTGATGGAACTCGCTTATTCACATCAAATCGAAGTTAGGGGTCGTATCTTATTGTCTTCCCTTGTCAGCAATTTCAGGATCTTGAACAGCTTATAAGCCCAGAATCAGCTATCCCGAGGATATCCGAAGCAGAAATCAATTCGTCAATAATTCACCAAACGATATTGCTTAAAAAGTTTTTGAAACGTCTGAGATTATAAAACATTAGCCTTCGAAATAATTTTTCAGTAAATTGTGACGAAGTGTTCAAATCGTTAGCTCGAACGGAGAGCTTCACCAAGTTCAGCGGTCACCTATGAATACTGGGCAAATAGGAAGTGAACATTATTACAGTTGTTCAGATAAATAGTGCATCCTTACTTGTGTATGTGGCTGCTCATACAAACTTGCTTTTATTGAAACTTTGGCGAAGAAAACGAGCTCCTTTGTAGGATTCCTTCCCATGCAGCATTGAGCTCTTTTGAAACCGTCCATGATTCCAGATGAAAGGCTTCCGCATGAAGGTCTAGTGGACTTAATCTGTTGTGAACTACCACTTCCGCTTTCCGGAGTGTTTCGGCGGAGAAATCGTTTTGAGACTAAAGGGATGTTAAATTGCCTTTCCATTTTGCTTACAATCGGAATTTTGCTAGAATGTGTCACCTTTTCATGTAGAACCTTGACAAGAGTATGGTGAATATAATGCCTTATCCACAAGTCAAACGGTTACGTTCTAGCAGAGTTGATGTCAGGAGGCAAGCACTCATGATGGTGGACATTTTCTTACCGACCTAAAATTAAAAAAATCAAGGGAAGTAGATCATGAGCATAGTGCTCAGGATTATAAACGATAACATAATATAGTTATATACAAAATATAAATAATTCCTATAAGTTCATGCTTTGAAAAGCAATGAAAATCATTGCCCCCTGTGAGCGATACCACAAATGAAAGAAAAATGACGAACTCAACAAGAACAACAAGAAAACCCCTCCCAGGAACGCCACGCTTTCGGTTTTGATCAGCACCTCCGCAGTAATTCAAAGGGTAATTTGAACAAGGCATAATCGCTCAGCTCGGGATCTGCCGAATAAGAAATGAGCACCGTTTTGATGTATTATTGTTACAGGAGGTGTGAGAGGCTTACGAGAAGCTGGGGGGCCGAAATGCAGGAAGTTTGTCTACAGGCTGGTATGCATCTCGGCTTCGAGTTACTGAGTACCGCGCACTGCCTAAGAAAGGAGTTGGACATCACTGTTTAGGAACACGAAGGGTCAAGTCTGAGCCCACTTCTCCTTCCTCCTCATACTTGACGTTATGATGAAGAGACTAATGGATGGACCGCTGAGAACCATTCTCAACGCTGTGGTATCGCTCTGATAGCAGACAGCAGAGGAGAACTACCAGGATAAGGTGCAAAAATGGCAGTAGTTGCTGGCAGCAGGAGCGCTCCGATTAAACATGGAAAA